GAGAGAGAGAGAGAGAGAGAGAGAGAGAAACACATGCAAATGTAGACAGAACGTGCGAGGTTTTACTTTCACAGCATACACGTAATGTCCATGGCCTGCGAGACCAGTCGCGATTACCCTTCTACCTCACTGCTCAGGTAATCATTTCAGCCACTATCCTTAGTATTTATACCCTTCGTTCCCAGTCCTTCTCCGCCACTTTCCCTATCCTTGCAGTGTACTCATCATCTATCCTCAGGATCTTCCGCAGTCGCTCTCACATGCTTTCAATCTGGAGTTCGTTGATTGATTTTGTCACCCTTGTTTCCAGATATGTTCATTCTGTGTTTGCATTGTCTGATGTGATTTCAAGTTTTAGAGATTGGTGGTAGCATGTTTGAAAAGATTTCAGACATTCCAACTCTTTCGTTTGATCTTCCTTACTTGCTATTATGATCATCATTACATCGTCCACAAAACTCATATCGTGGATAAGTTTCCCATCAATTCCAGTATGCGCACACCATTTGTACTCATCGAACGCGCATACCATGTTGGCAATGGGTGGGCTAGAGCCCTTCCCCATTGGTATCCCCATTACTTGGCATAATAATGTTCCTTGTACTTTGAAGTTTGAAGTATGCGTGTTTTATGTCATAGTACAACAAATCCATTAGGCATTCAATTTTTAATGTTCTCCATCCGTAGGTTCCGTTTGCTTTTCCAAAGTTCATGTACTTTCCTCTCATCTCGTAACAGAAGTGGGTTTTCCGTTTTTCTTTCGCCGTTTTCATCATCCGTTGCATGACGTTTAAGATATGTGTGTGATCGAGATTCGAAAATATATCTTTGACGTCGTATGTGGAACAGATTATCGTAGTCATATCCCCGTATGTTTCTTTTGCTACTTGATTGCATTTCTTCAGTCTAGGTAGTAGTTGGTTCGTTCCTTTTAGTGAGAAACCAACTTTCAATGCTTGACACATGAAGTTGATAGTTCTTGATAGTACATTCGATGCTTTTCGAGATGACTCCTTATATGTCGACACAATTGGTCGGCGTCTGGTGGCGTCCTTGTTTTTTGGAATTGTATACGCATTTCCGTATGATCCCTGTTCATCCCATTCCGCGATTTTCTTCAGCCCACATCCATGATACGTATTTTTGCCCAATTGAGTGATCTCAGATTCCGTTTGTTGTATAATTTTGTAGTGATTCGATTCCGGAAAGAGTTCTCGGGTTTTCTCGTTCCAGATTTTACAACATTCCACAAAAGTTTCTCCGGGATTTATGTCCAATGGTGATAGGATACATTATGTCAATCTTCTTTTTACTTCCCATACTTTTGATATGTGAAGAAAAATCTCCATATCATTCTTCTTTTGAACCGATTTAAACAAAACAGGTATATTCTGATTCACCTCATTGTTTTCATTCTTCTTCCTCTTTCTCCTTCTTCGTCTTCGATTTTTCCGAGTCTTTCTGCCTTTTCCCCATGTATTCAAGAATGGATTCAGTCTCCTAATCAGTGTTGCTTCCATCCCTATCACCTCTGATCTCACTCCCGTCCAAATGGGTATCAGAACATATTTCTCCCAACCAAATTTGTGCAGCCAACTGTATAGTTTCCGTTGTGCTTCTCTATTTGGATTCTTGGCCAAGTTTATGTGTTCAGTCCATTTCTTGTCGGGCTGTTTTGTTGTCCTCCCTACGTACATATGTCTACACCAAGGTGAAACTCCTTGTACTAACTAGTTGCTCAATTTTCGTTGATAGCCTGTGTATCTGCTCCCACTTCTGTGTCGTGGTGAGGTCGCCTGATGCTGAGGTGTCTTCTACCTTCCCGACAGATCTTCGGCGCTCGAAGATGTGTCGGATGAGTCATACTCATCTTCCGCTTGATCTTGTACTAAGGCTCTCGTAATCATCCTCACTTGTGTCGCCGCCAGTTGTATTGGACACTCTGATGTTATATGGATCTGGCATGATCTGTGTTTCAAGATCAGAATCTCGTTTGAAGTCCTGCCCCTTGTAGGTGATCAATCCAGGAACTTGCCTCAATGCCGAGATCGTTTGCGGTTTGTCCTTGTACCTGATGTCATGCATCTTGCATAAGACCTTCAGGTCCGTGTAGTGAAGACGAAGGAGCTGCATGTCTGTCATCGGTTTGACCCCGAAATTAATGCTCCGTTTTACCTTCGACTTCGCTGCCGACACTTTGCCACTAATCTTCGTTCGTCCTCTCTTGGGGTGTGGAGGGATTACTCGTCCCAATCTGCTTTTGTTCGGTGCACTTCTGCTTGGCATGCTTCGGCTCGGAATGCTGCGGCTACCATGTACTGAAGTGCAACCAACTGCATAGTTTCCGTTGTGCTCCTCTATTTGGATTCTTGGACAAGTTTATGTGTTCAGTCCATCTCTTGTCGGGCTGTCTTCCTGTCCTCCCACGTACATATGTCTACACCAAGGTGAAACTCCCTGTACTAACTAGTTGCTCAATTTTCGTTGATAGCCCGTGTATCTGCTCCCACTTCTGTGTCGTGGTGAGGTCGCCTGATGCTGAGGTGTCTTCTACCTTCCCGATAGATCTTCGGCGCCCGAAGATGTGTCGTGTGTCGGATGAGTCATACTCATCACTCCCGCTTGATCTTGTACTAAGGTTCTCGTAATCATCCTCACTTGTGTCGCCGCCAATTGTATTGGACACTCTGATGTTATATGGATCTGGCATGATCTGTGTTTCAAGATCAGAATCCCGGTTGAAGTYCCGCCCCTTGTAGGCGATCAATCCAGGAACTTGCCTCAATGCCGAGATCGCTTGCGGCTTGTCCTTGTACCTGATGTCATGCATCTTGCATAAGACCTTCWGGTCCGTGTRGTGAAGACGAAGGAGCTGCATGTCCGTCATCGGTTCGACCCCGAAATTAATGCTCCGTTTTGCCTTCGACTTCGTTGCCGACACGTTGCGATTAATCTTCGTTCGTCCTCTCTTGGGGTGTGGAGGGATTACGCGTCCCAATCTGCTTTTGTTCGGTGCGCTTTTGCTTGGCATGCTTCGGCTCCGAATGCTGTGGCTACCATGTACTGAAGTTGGTAGTCCAGCCATTGTCCCCACATATCCGTTCGGATGAACCGAAGACGACACGATCAGAGTGCAGGTACGAATCGGTTCATTGATCTTCTGCAACGCGCCCTTCACAACCGCCAGATCATACTTTAGTAGCTTCAGGTTGTTGACTTCCTTCTGCACTTCCGATACCATCCTTTCTACTTTATCTTTCGCCTCTGCATTCTTCGACTGGTTGCGCTTGGACCAGCTTGATTCTGTCCCCCTTGGTTCATCTCTGTCGGCTTCAGTGCTTCATCAATCATGGACTTGAACGAGTCCGGAGATAGCTCAGGCTTCTTTGCGGTGTCTTCCTTCTTCGGAGGAGCTGGCTGCTTTTCACTTGTCTTTCGTGTTAGTTGCTCCAGTGTCTTGAAAACTTTGTCCATCTCCCGACGGAGCTTAAAGATTTCATTTAGATCCGCCGTAAACCACGCTCTATTTTTCGGTGGGGGGAAATTATTCCGTCTTTGCTCCCACAATGGTCTCGAGCACCACCTTAGAGCTCCCGACTCCGCCCTTCTTCTCCGTGACGATGGTGATCTTGACTTATGTCTTCTATCTCTCGGAGTTTTCAATCTTCCCCTTCTTGAGCGCTTCCTCCCTTGAGATTCGGAAGATGATGATGAGTGTCTTCGCCGCCTCCTGTCCGACGATAATCGCGAACGCGACATCTTCCTTGAAGCTTGGGAACGTCAGGTAGGTAGTCTTCGTACTTGAAATCGATAAAAAACCCCACAACGTCGTTGATCGCCTTCAGTACACACCAGATAAGTAAAATAGAATCTTCAAAAATCGCTGAGTAATCTCCACGCTATAGTAATCTCCAACAAATCGCCACTATGATATCATGAAAGAAAAGGGTTAAGAATGATGAGAGAGAGATAAAGACAGTGAATGTAAAATGGAAGAGTGACAGGTCTATACAGTGTCAATCATCGCGGGTACCGCCCACAAGTTCTAAGCACCGCGCATAGAGATAAACACATGCAAATGTAGACAGAACGTTCGAGGTTTTACTTTCACAGCATACACATGCAAATGTAGACAGAACGTGAGAGGTTTTACTTTCACAGCATACACGTAATGTCCATGACATGCGACACCAGTCACGATTACCCTTCTACCTCCCTGCTCAGGTAATCATTTGAGCCACTATCCTCAGTATTTATACCCTTCGTTCCCAGTCCTTCTCCGCCACTTTCCCTATCCTTGCAGTGTACTCATCATCTATCCTCAGGATTTCCCGCAGTCGCTCTCTGTGTTGTCCTTGTCGTCGTCGATTTCCAACATGCCTTCAATCTGGAGCTACTTTCATCATATCTAATGATTTTGTGCGTGCTACTCACGTACTCTCCTCTCTGTCGGAATTCCGTCTTACTGTGGTACTTGCCTATAACTCCGCTGTTTTTTTATACTGACTCGAATCTGGCCTTGTTTGTTGTTCTGTTCTTGTTTGCTTTCATGGCCATGGATTTTCCTTCATTTCCAGGTGAGTATTTTTTCTTTATTGGTTCGTTTCCACTGCTTTAGGTCTTTCATATTCTATCTGTTTCGTATATTTGAAAATGTGAGCGATACTGTTACATCGTTATATCTGCAGAAATTCCGTGATATTGCGGAGTATTTAATCGTGTATGTTTCTTTTTCGTCCCTGAAAATTTATTTTCATTCCGTGCAAAATTATATTTTTGGTTTATTATTTTTGATTTTTCGATTTGTGATTTTAGCTTTATATTTCGAGTCGTGTGAATTTCTTGACGTATTTTATTCCGGACTTTCGTCGATTTGGTGCTTCTTGCTTTTCCAAGTACTCCTGGAATTTATTTCGGACGTCTGCGTCCCTGCAGTTTCGGATGAACGCAAGTATCACGGCGCGGGTTATCCTCCATGGGTAATCCATGAGTCAGAGTTCTCGTCCGAACAGGTCAATCACGGGCGGTAAATCCGCCATCTCATATGTGTTACCTACCATTCACTGAAAAGTTCCGATAATCATCAAGGTCTTGGTTCTCTCAGAGCCCGCACTCCTGAAGTGACTCAACGTCATGAGAGAGAGAGAGAGAGAGAGAGAGAGAGAGAGAGAGAGAGAGAGAGAGAGAGAGAGGTTGAATGGCAAAATTGACATATGGGTCAAATTGCGGCCGCAATCTATTTCGCAATTGGAATGATTTTTTTAAATTTATGTTGCGTTTGTCCTGGAAAGATCACAACAAAATTTATGACTACTCCAATTTTTAGGTTTTTTCACACATTCTTCTGAGCGCGAAAACACTGAATTTGGAGTACTTTTTTAGTTGTCCCAGACATGGCTGAGTGGCAAAAATGGAAAATATGTTGAATCGGCGCGACAATTATTTCGCAGTCTAAATGATTTTTTGTAAATGTTCTATTATTATTTATGGAAAGAACACGACCTCATCTATGGATTCTCAAAATTTCAGATTTTTGTGTGTGTTCATCTGAGCACAGAAAATCACCAAAGTTGCCTCTTGCAAAACGTCTGTTTCGTTGTGCCTGACCTCCCTGTTTTGAGAAGACGGGGCTCAATGC